ACCCCTTTTAGAAAAACTACCACTGAGACTTCTTTATCTCACTCATACAGAATGTTGCACTAAAAGCCAACATATCTTCAAGTGATAGACTCCAAACTTTGCCAGTCTGATGCATTTTCTTCCTGGAGCCCTGCAACTATGCCATGCTGCTGGAAATTATACATGCACATGCCCTTATCCTAATATGTATCTTCCAATAAAGTCTTACCATAATTATAACATGTTGGTGACCCAGGGGCCCCAGGCTATGCCAAAGCATGCAAACCCTGTCATATTCCAGCAACCAGGGGAGATGTAGAGGATTGAACTGATGATGACTCTTCTGTCTTTCATCTGAGGACCAGCTCAGCTGGGCAGCAGCAGGGTGAGAAACTCTTTGGTTGCAGCAACTCATGAAAACTGTCTACTAAGTTGCAGCTGGGTTGCAATTGGAGTTAGTGTAAGAAGGAGGACGGAGGATATACTATGTGCCAGGCACTGTACTAAGCAGGAGACTGTTCTTCAATTTAGTATGTGATCACTGTGCTTGAAGTTCTGGAGATGTGTCCTTTTCCTACCTCCTCATTCAATCTGGCTGTAGTTGTCCAGGTTGAGCCACCAAGTAGGAATTAATTGAACATCCTGATTTGCCCAGGTGTTGCTCAGTTGTTATGATGAGCATTTCTCCCATCCTGGTACCCTGACAATATCTCAATGGTAGTCATCATATCTTACTATATAATGTTAACTGCAGCTTATAACTAGCAACAATAATGAAAACTGCTTAAGATATCAGAGAAGCAGCAAGGTCTGCAAGGCCATGAGAAAGTTGTCTGTTATAATTACCCTATATACCTATATAAAGAAAATCATAACAAAGCAAATTTCAAATCCTATTTCCCTTGATTCACTCTAAGAGTATTAGCTTCCCCCACCTAACTACCACCACCACCACCACCACTATCATTTTTGCCTGAACCTGTGATTTCTTCAGTGTAGGAAGCACCCGAAAGTCGCCTGCATTTAGAAAGTTCCTCTATCAATATAGATGAGAAGTTGTTGTTTAGTTTTATCTGACTTTTTGTAACCCCACTTGGGTTTTGTTCAGGGTTTTTGGCAAAGATGCTAGAGTGGTTTGCCATTTCCTTCTCCAGCTCATTTTACAGATGAGGAAATGAGGCAAATAAGGTGGGTTAAGTGACTTGGCCAGGGTCACACTGCTACAAAGTCTCAGAGGCCAGATTTGAACTCAGAAAGCTGATTCTTCTTGACTTCAGGACTAGCACTTTATCCCCTGAGCCATCAAACTGCCCCTGCAGAAAGAAAAACTTTGGGAATTGCCTCAAGCACTGAAAGAAAGAGTGACTTGCCCTAGGTCAGACTGGGCTATATGTGTCAGAGAACCAAGCCTGGGTTGCTCTCACAAGAGTGTGGCCTTCTTTGCACTATACCCTGCTCCCTCTCCCTAGCATAAAGAACATAAAGAACCAGAGATACTAATCGGCACCAGACCTGTGATATTGAATAGCCTAAGACAGTTTCCTAGACACTGGGAGGTTATGACTTATCCAGGGTCACACAAGCAGTATTTGCCCGAGAGGATATTTAAGCCCAGGTTGTCCAGACTCCCAGGCTAGCCTACTATTTAGCTGGCCATTTCACCTATGTTCCATGGTTAATTTATTTTATAAGGTAACTTTCCATTTGATGTTGTGCTGCTGCAAAATTAGAATCAACCAAATCTATCAATCACTTGTGTGACATCTGGTACAAACAGTCGTGGATACTAACTAAGGCCACCGGTGTGAGTTTCTTTGTGTCAGAACAAAGGCTGCTGGGTTTGCATCTGCTTCAGACCAACACCTTTGAGTAAAGCATTCTCAAGGCAACTCTCACAAGTAATTCTGATTTCTTGCTATTAACCCCATTCAGAGGGAAAGACCAGACTAAGGGCACATTAGACCATTCTTCCAAATGGTGGCCTGAGCTGATTTCCAGTCAATCCTTTATTTTGAGAAAATTACCTCTGCTTTTTTCAGGCAGCAGAGCGTTCAGTCCCTTCATCCATTTAACTAGTTGAGAAAACATAATGGAATGGGGAAAATGCCACCATCATCAGAAGGGAACTTTTTCAAATCCTACTTCTGAACTATAGTGACCATGTGAATCACCTTAATTCCCCAGATCTTAGTTTCTTTATCTGTAAAACGGGGATAAGAACACATAAGTTATGAGGAGGAAATGTGATAACATATATAAAATGCCATATTAACGTCCCATTGTTGGTAAACTGCCCTGTTAGAGTTTGACTCTTCCTCCAGGTTGAACATAACTTGAGTTAACACAAATAGGCTCATAAAAAGAACTTAAAGCATTTGAAGTGTCCTACCACTTCACTCTTCTTCAGAATTACCAGGAAATGCCTCATAAGGGAACTTTCCCCTGCCGTTTACAAAGATAAGGAGTTTAAACGACAAGAGCCAACTAAGAACAAACTTTTGGAGGTCCAAACCAGTCAGTCGATAGTATTTACTGAGCATCCTGTCCCAAACACTGTGCAACAGTACAGAAAAAGGAGAGCTTGCCCAGAAACACAGGTCACAGGACCTTTAGAGTTCATTATCTAAGGATTACAAAGCAAACCAGTTTTATTGATTTGCAGTTGTAAAAACATTTTGAAATAAGACAAATTCATGGACCTCAGGTTAAGAACCCCTATAAATCATATGGTGAATTGGCTTAGCTGTTTCTCTCTCTCATTTCGCTCTCTGTCTCTGTGTCTCTGTCTCTGCCTCTCTCTGTCTCTCTCTCTGTCCCTCTCTCTACTTCTGTTTGTCTCTCTCATAAACAAAGATACACACACACACACACACACACACACACACACACACACACCTGATTATCTACCTCAGTGACCTCATGTCACCCCAAAATCTGGAATAACTACTTGAGGTACTAATAAACAGCCCATCCACAAGCCTTCTGCTGCGGCGGGATAGACAGGAGCGAATGAGTCCCCTGTACTTGAAAGAAGTTAGTGGAGGGGGGGCAGCTAGGTGGTGCAGTGGATAGAGCTCTGGCCTTGGAGTCAGAAGAACCTGAGTTCAAATCTAGTCTCACACATGACACTTACTAGCTGTGTGACCCTGGGCAAGTCACTTAACCCCGATTGCCTCACCAAAAAGCAAAAAAAAAAAGTTAATGGAGGCAAGTATCAAGCCCAAGTCCTCCGACAGCACAATTTTGGACCAAGTCTGCACTTAACAATCCTTCCTTCTGAGGGGCAGCTAGGTGGCATAGGCCCTGGAGTCAGGAGGACCTGAGTTCAAATCCGGCCTCAGACACATAATACTCACTAGCTGTGAGACTCTGGGCAAGTCACTTAACCCCAATTGCCTTACCAAAAAACAAAAAACAAAAAAAAACCAACCCTTCCTTCAACTCCCAGCGAGTCCCAAAAAGTCACACCCACTCCCTCGTACAGCTACTCCGGAGGGCGGCCAAAAGGGGTGGCGGAGCGGCTGGGGTGGATCACGGCCAAGGGGACTGACACCGTCCACCTCTTCACTTTCCTGTGCTGCGCTGCCGAGACACCCCCCCTTTCCAGGCCCCCCAGCTTCACTGGGCGCGGCGCAGCCCTTGGTAGGCGTCTGGGCGTCTAGAGACGTGTCTCGGAACGCCGAACTGCTAACTGCACTTACTCGGCTTGCCTCCGGAGAAACCGGGAAACCTCCAGGCTCCGGGGACCTCGGGCTGCGCTCCCCGGGTGAGCCCAGGGCTCCCCACCTGCCTGCCGTGGGCGCGATGAGCAATTTCTCTTGGTCCCTCTAAGGCTTCCGAAGCCCGTCCTGGGCAGCAGAGCTCCGCCGCTCGGGCTCTCCCATCTCGCTTGCTGCTCCTTCTTGAGGAGGCATGGATCGACGGTACAAGCCCGGAGCTGGAGGGTCTGGAAGGACCACAGCCTGGCTTCTCCTCTCCAGGGTTCGCCTGGTCTCCCCGCTCCCCGCATGGAGCTCCCTCCCACGCGGGCTGGCCAGCAGCCCGTACTCCTCCCCTCGCTGGGCTGGAGGGGAGGAGGCAGCAGCACTTCCCGGACGTTGGGACGCCTCTTCTCCTCAGTCTGGACAGCTGGGAAGGTTGTCCAACCCGAGAGTACTCTCAGGGGCCGGGTAAGTGCCGCTGCTGCCTGCCTGAAAAGTTCCCTCTTGGGAGCCGCCTCTGCCCCGAGGTCTCTGGAGTACAATTGCCTGAAGTCGTGCCCAGGGCACTCTGGGGTAGTGAGTCAAGTCCAGAGGAGGATTCGGAGACAAGCTATTCCCAAGTTCCCTAAAAACGGGGGAGTTTGAATAGAGGATTCCTGTTAGACAAGTAAGGAAGGCTTGTAGTAGTTAGTATCTTTGCCGTCTTTCAGGGCCTTTCAAACAACATCTTAGAGTAATGGATTTAAAGAAGGACGTTAAGAAGTCATCGATTCCACCCCCCTTTACAAATTAAAATGAGGCACAGAAAGACACATTCAACAAATGAGCTCCCCATAGTCACACTGCTAGTAAGTGTCCAGGGCAGGGTTTGAATTTTAAGTTTTCCTGCCTCAGTTTCCAGTATCCTATCCGCTGCACTAAACTGGCTGTCTCCTCCAATTGGCTATTTCCATATTCGCAAGGCTCTTATCTTTCAAGGTTCGCACCCAGAGCAAATCAGACTGCCAGGGATGCTATAGCCTCCGGAGGTTTTAACCTCACCCGGGCTGCCAACGGCTTCCCAACCCCAGTATCACAGCGTTCTGCTGCTCTGGGACTGCCCAACATCTCTACGTGGATTGTGGCTGTTTATACTCAAACCCTTCAAAAAGTAGACTTCCAAACTTAGTTTTTATCCCAGAGATCATTTTGGTCGTTTTGGAGGCAAGGAAAAGGAATTATTAAGTTCACTGACCCAGAGCTGGAAAGGATTTTAGAGGTCACCCTTTCATTTACAGACGAAGAAACTCCGGAACAGAAAGATCGAGCTGAGTGACTCACCTGAGGTTTGAATCCAAGGTCTCCAAACCCAGCATGAGGTTCACGGTGCCACAATGCTGCCTTTCTCAAGGAGTTTTAAGAGAAATAGCTTGTGACTTCGCGGGTAAGAAGTTGCTGAGCTTCAAAAAGATAGTCCCCCTGCGGGTGGAATACATTTAAAATAAAACAAACAAAACCCTTGCTATTTTACAGATGAGGAAGCTGAGGTAAACAAGGGTTGAATAATCTGAACAGAATCCTACACCTAGGACTGTTCTGAGACTGCGTTTGAGCTTGATTGCAGCTTACACACTCTATCCACTAGCTGCCCATAACCTAAGATACTCAGGGATTCGTTACAGGACAATTATTTACCCTTTAGCTAGGTAGGCATGCACTCCTTTCCAAGAGAGAGAGAAGCCTATGTGGCTTCCTCTTCGAGCTTTTTATGTCCTTTGCAACATCTACATCTGGAAGTACCAGCCTCTTTTCAGTCAGTCCCAGGCCTGCCTTTGTAACATAACATCTGCACCAGAGACAAGGCACAGTGAAGAGGCTGATATGTCACCTTACGCTCACGAGCTTTGTTAAACAAGATTTTTTCACAGAATTAATTCATTGAAATGTCATCCTAGTAAAGCATCCTAGTGTATGACAAACTCATGGAATAATTTTGTCATTGCTTACTTTGTTAAATAAATAATTTTAAATGAATAATAAATAAATTTGATAAATAAAATTGTCATTCCATAATTAAAAAAAACTTTTGGCAAAAGGTTTTGGTTTTTTTTTGGGGGGGGTTTGTTTGGCTGGAGTTTTTTGGTCATAAGCTACGTGGCCCAGTACAACATGACTTGGTGACCTGAAAAGTTTAAAAAAAAAGCATTACTATTTTTGTTTTGTTTTTTTTTATGGAACTTACTGCTGATCTTCTCTAGAACCACAAGGTTCCTTGAAACAAATTTTAAAACCACTGCCCTAGATGGACTTCCTCCAACAGCCTAACTCTTCTTATATATTTTCCATTCTCTTTACCTGCACTGAACCATTTTTTATTTCTGTCATCAAACCTTCTTTATCTTCAAAACAATTTATTCATGACCTCCTATCCCCACAAAGCTGTCTGACTCTCTTCAATTCATTCTGCTTAATATATGCCATCTAGGAAGACCTAAGCTAGTATTCTTGACCAGTCAGAAAATCCATAGCTATACTGAACATAAGAGCTAGGGGTAACAAGTCAATGCATACCGTGAATGATTTATGTTTTCACAGGTAAAGGATGGGCACTAGGATGGGCCTTTCAAAATCTGTGCCAAGTTTGTGAACAATCAGTCAAAGCTTTTATTAAGCACCTATTTTGTAAAGGGCATTATACTGGGCACTGGTAACACAAAGACAAAAAACAAACCAGTCCACAACCTCAATGAGCTTACATTCTATGGGAAGAAGTGTGTACATATAGAAGTGAATATGACCTATATGCAAAACTGTTGTTCAGTCATGTCCTATTCTTTGTGACCCCACTTGGGATTTTCTTGGCAAAAATAAGGGAGTGGTTTGCCATTCATCAGCTCATTTGCAGATGAGGAAACTGAGGCAAACAGGGTTAAGTGACTTGCCCAGGGTCACACAGCTAGTAAATCTCAGAGGCCAGATTTGAAGTCTGGAAGATGAGTCTCTCTGACTCCTGGCAAGGTGCTCTATTCACTGCACCACTTAGCTGCCCTCTGCAAAATTAAATACAAAGTAATTTTAGTGAGGGACAATAGCAGTTGAGGTGATCAGGAAAGGTAATATGGAAGAAGTAAAAGTTATGCATAAACCTATTCAATGACTCTGAATAATTGCATAAACTACACCTCAGTTTTTCCATCATTAAAGTGAAATGCATTATTAACATGAAAGCAATATGACAATTGCTAGATACTGCTAGATATCTGTAGAAATGAAGTGTCTCACTTACCTTTATAATGTGCCCTCTCCGGCTGGTGTCATTTGCCTCAAGATAAATTATTCTTCAACTCTTGAAACTTTGTGGGAAGATGAATAGTTTAAATGGTTCCACTTTGGAGGGGAGGGGGCCGGGAATTACACTGTGTCTACAAATATTGGAAAGATTTTCATCTGAAAGAAAAATTAGATTTTTTAATAGCTCCAAAGGGAAGAATTAGGAATGGTGGGGGAAAGTCAAAGGGAGATGAATTTACATTTCACAGAAGGAATTTCCTGTCCAATAGTAAAAATGGACTACCTCATGAAGTAATGAGTACATTGTCATCATAGAAGTTCAGAGACTGGATGGACATTTGTCAAAAATATAAATGTTAAATGCTAATGACAATGAAAAAGACTTTAGAAAAATATGCTGGGGTCTCCTCCCCACAAATACTCAGTGACTCCCTATTGTCTGAGTAAATTTCAACCTCTTTCCTTGATATTCAAAGTTGGCCACAATTTGATGGCATCCCACCTTTCCAGGCTTTCCTCATACTACTTCCTGCCACATGTGATTGTTACTGCTTCTAGGGTTAATCTTGTTTGTGACTATCTTCCTAAATGGTAATGCAAGAGTCCCCCACTGATGCTCTTCCTCTTAACAATTAGCCAGTGGATGCAGTTCTTTATCAAGAGCATTTACTTAACTGGCTCAGCAATTAAACACTTCCCCCAACACCAGGAGCAAATTCTCCACACATAGATTCAAAGTCCACAAGCAGGAAAAAGTGGGTATGAATTTAAAGAAAAGTAATAGTGAGGCACACATATAGACAACACACATGGCCAAGGCAACTCATGAGCCAGATCAACAGCATATGGGTGTAGTGTGTGGGCTGATTAAGCCAATCTGCTACTGAACTGGGTCTAGCAGTTCCCTCATAGTGGTTGTTGTGACTCCTCACCAGGCTCCACTGCTGCTAGACTGAACCGGGCACATACTAGGTGGGGTATCTCTAAAGGATGGGTCAATTTTTGGTCTCTTGGCCTTGTTATTCAATGAACAGCTATAGTCTTTCTCCCCACTAAATCTGAAGAGTATGTTCCAGGGAATAAGGTGTATGAAGACGGGAAAGGGAGGAGGAGTCAGGTTATGAAAGGCTTTGAATTCAAACAGAGGATTTTGTATTTGATCGTAGAGGTGATAGGGAGCCACTGGAGTTTACTAAGCGGGAGGAGGGGAAAGTGATTTGATCAGACCTTCGCTTTAGGAAAATCACTTTGGTGGCTGAATACAGGATTGGAGTGGAGAGAAACTTGAGACAGGCAGACCACCCAGCAGGCTATTCCAATAGTCCAGGCTTGAAGTGATAAAAGCCTGTACTAGAACAAAGAGAAAGGGACATATAGGAGAAATGCTGCAAAGGTGAAATCAATAGGCCTTGGCAACAGATTGAATATGAGAGGTGAGAGATAGTAGAGGAGTAGAACAATTCCTAGGTTGTGAGTCTGAGAGACTGGGAGAATGGTATTGCCATCTATAGTAACAGAGAAGGTAGGAGAAGGAGAAGAATTTTGGAGGAGAAATAATGAGTTCCATTTTGGACATGTGTAATTTAAGATATCCACTGGAATCCAGTTTGAGATGTCTAAAAGGAAATTGAATATGCAAGATTGGAGGTTAGCAGAGGGGTTGGAGCAGGCTATGGAGATTTGAGAATCAGCAGCATAGAGATGGTAATAAATCAATGGTGGCTGATGAGATCACTGAGTGAAGTAGAACTTAAAAACAATTTGCCTGTAGTAGAGACTTGTGATTTCACATAGAAATCATTTTATATTTGTCTTTGCTTATGAACATGAAATAAACATGTCTGTTGGTATTTTTCAAGCTCGTAACAATAAAACATTTTTTGAAAAAAAGAATAGGGGAGTTGCTACTATATGAGAGAATGGCAAAAGTTCTGATTATCCAAAAAAGGAAAGAGGAAGGATGGAGTTTGCAGACTGTAAGTTGGTGATCTTGAGTTGATCTCTGGAAGAATTCTAGAATGCATTATTATGTTTTTAGAGGCAATCAGGTTTAAGTGACTTGCCTAGTGTCACACAGCAGATAAGCGTCTGAGGCTGGATTTGAACTCAGGTCCTCCTGATTCCAGGGCCTATACTCTACCCACTGTGCAACCCAGCTGCTCTAGAATTCATTAATAGTGAGATAACTAGTGAACTTTGGAAAATGGAAGTTCTAATCACTAAAAGGCAGCATGGATGGCTTCAACAAAAATAGATCATGCCAAACCAATCTCATTTCCTTTTTTTGACAGGGCTAGCAGCCATAGTGCAGTAAATAGAACATAACTAGGTTTCAGCAAAACATTTAACAGTTTTCTGTGTTATCTTTTTGGATAAAATAAAAAGAAATGATTAGATGATGGCATTGTTAGGTGAATTCAAAGCTTGTTGAATGACTGCATAAAAGAACAGACATAAATGAATCAATGTCAGCTTGGAGGGAAGTCTAGTGGAAGACCACAGGTATCTGTCCCTGGTCCTGGTTGTTTTTTTTTTTTAATATGTTTAATCAATGACAGATAAAGGCAAAGATGGCATCTTTACAATTGTACAGATGACATAAAGCTGAGAGGGACAGCTGAAACACTTCATAGCCAAAGTAGGATCCAAAAACATCCCAAAGTAGGATACTTGTCTAGAATGATAAGTTAGATGATTATGACAAATATAAAGTTCCAAATTTGGGTTTTAAAAAACCCAAATTCATGAATATAAGATGTAAGAGGTATGGCTAGTTTGTCTGAAAAAGATCTAAGGGTTTTAGTTCAATCTAAGTTAAAACTGTACTATGACAGCAAGAAAAACTAACGTAATCTTAGATGCACTAAGGGAAGCATGGTGTCCTAAATGATAGTATTACCATACTACACTCTGGTGAGACCATCTCAGGAGTGCTGTGTTTAGTTGTGAGTGCCAAATTTTAGGAAGGACATTGATTAATTGCAGAGAATCCAGAACAGGGCAGTGAAGATGGAAAAAGGCCTTGAGATTGTACCATGTGAGGAATAGTTGAAGTAACTGAGGAGGCTTAGCCTAGAGAAAAGAAGATTTGGGGGGCACTTAGGGGACATTTAGGGGGCACTATCTTCAATTATTTGAAGGGCTATGATATGGGAGAGGGATCAGACCAGGAGCTGCTTATCTCAAGAAGACCAAACTAGGGACAATGGGTAAACCCTGCAAAAAAGCACATTTAAGCTTGACATCCAAAAAACATCCTACTGTCCATTAGAACTGTCCAAAAGTCAAATCCCCCAGAAACAGTGGGCTCCCCTTCATTGGAGAGGCCTGATGACTATTTGCTGGGTGTGTTGTGGAGGAAATTTGTAATATAATCATTAATAATGTAATGCTTTAAGGTTTGCAAAGTACTTTTTATATTCAATATATTTAATTTGATTCACACAAAAAGAGGCGTGCTAATATCCTTGTTTTACAAATGAGGGAACTGAACTGAGAGAAGTTAGGTGACTTAACAAGGTAACTCAGCTAGTATAGTTAATCGAGATATGAACTCAAGTCTTCCTGACTCCAAATCCTGCCCTCCATTCACTTTGCAACCTATCAGCCTCATCTTGCTTGCTTAGGCATGTTCTGGAATAGATAGCCTTTAAGATCCCTCTCTTCCAATAGGAGAGGCTATGCCTAGATCTCTAAGAGCTATTCTGTCATTCCCACCTTATACCCTAACTTACTCTCCTCCAAATATTTTTGAATCTACTAACACTGGCATCCTTGCTTTTCCTCAAACAAACAAAACACTCCATCTTCTGACTCCTGGCATTTTTTCTGTTCTGTACACCAGCCTAGAATGTTCTCTTTCCTTATCTTTGCTTCCTGGCATCCCTGGCATCCTAAAATCCCATCTTCTACAGGAAGACTTTCTTTTTGTTGTTTTGTCATTTCAGTAATGTCCTACTCTTCATGAGCCCATTTGGGTTTTCTTTGCAAAAATACTGGAGTGGTTTGTCATTTCCTTCTCCAGCTCATTTTACAGATGAGGAAACTGAGGCAAGCAAGGTTGAATGACTTGCCCAAGGTCACACAGCTAGTGTCTTCAGCCATATTTGAACTCAGGTCTTCCTAATTCTAGGCCCAGCACTCTATCCACCTTGCCATCTAGCTGCCCCAAGCCTAACTTTGTTCCCTATTAATTTTAGTGCCTTTCCTCTAGTGATTTATTCTAATTTATCTTCCTCTCTATAGTTTGTTTGTACACAGTTATTTGCATGTTGTTTTCCCCGTTAGACTATTAGTTACCTGAGAGCAGAGACTGCATTTCTTTGCATCCCTAGTGCTTAGCACAGTGCCTGGCACATAACAGGTGTTTAATAAGTCTTTGTTGCCTGACTAACTCTTTGGAAGGATGAAAAGTAGCCCACGTTCTTGTTACTGTTCTCTAACATTCACATTCATACTTCTATTTGTATCATTTTTTATGGTTGTATGTGGTTTGTCTTTCATTCTTCAAGAGGACCATGACATCAGGAAGATGACATGACTTGCAATTGACTTTGATTTGAGTGAGGGAGGGCTGTGCGAAGTCACCAGCCTCACTTTCTCCTCTGGAGCCATCTGGGTCCAGTGGCCAGATATCAGTCAGGACAACTGGAGATGGCCCAGGAAGCAGTATGAGACCTTGGCTCTTTAAAACAAATGTTCCTAATTTCATTAAAAGAAAAACCAACCCACACATTTTGCCCTTGGTATTACAACACTGGCTCATTTTCAAGCCAGAGTTATGGCCAAATATGTGGGAGAAGAAAGAGCTTTGGAAAAATCACAGTCATACTCTTTTTTTATATATGTATAAACTCAAAAAGGTCAACAGTTCAAGAAACATTTCATCCAAGTTATTTGTATATGCATTTGCCTTCTTTTGAGTAATTGAGATTGTTTCTTTTTATTTGTCTCCTCTCAACCTACCATAGCCCCTGACACATAGTAGGTACTTAATAAATCTCTACCACTATGTGTGCATGCTAACTTAACCTCTCAAAGCTTCAGTGTTGTCTTTTGTAGAAAGAGTGCAATAATTACAGAATTACAGAATTCCTGTTGACTCATTGTTCTATGTATCCATAGGGCAGGGACTGTTGTCAAGTTTTTGTTTGGTT